TATTAGTAAGTTAAGGAGCTTCTCCAAGGAAACTTAAAGGAAGTATGTTGATTTTATACTTTCTAAACCACCACAATTAGATAAAACCCATAGTAACAAGGAAGGACAGAGTTACAACTTTACTGATTTCCACTGTAAAAAGAGGAAAAATGGTATTTACTTTTCGGTTATGGTTACTTGGATGAAGGGAAAGCGTAACAATGAAGAGACAACCTTAAGGATTAAAGAGATTTTGAGGTGTAGCTTACATGAATCCATACATGGATTAAACTTAACAATGCTTCATATCAAAAATTAAAAAATGTGTATTTTTTTGAGAAACAAAGTACAAGGATAAAAAATTCTCAGGGCTATTTATAGAAAGTGGGGGGGGGTCACAGAAAGTTAGAATATGAAAGGATTCAGTGGGTTGGGGGCAGGCACTTAGCCCCGTGATTAAGACACCAGTAAGACACTTGCATGCAATATCAGAGTACCTGGGTTTGACTACTGTCTCGGGCTCTAGATTGCAGCTTCCAGCGGGAATGGTTCAGGTAATTGAGTTCCTGCCACTCAAATGGCAGACCTAGATTTGAGTGGCTTCTCACTGCTGCAGGCATCTGCAGAGTGAATCAGTGAATAGGAGTATTTTTGCTCTCTCTCAAATAAATAAAATAATGCTTACAAATTCAATGTTTTTACCAGTTATAGTTCAAAGACCCAAGACAAAATAAAACAGGAAGGCCCTAATATGATACGGTATGTTTAAATACAGAAATATGGATGTGGAGGGGTTTTCCAAAACCTGCCAATCAGTGTATCCTAGAACTCAACCAACTTTGTCCCTAACACAGGAAGGGTCAATGAAAAGTAATAATCTATAAACAAAAGGTATTCAAAGAAGTCTTATAAAGACAATCTTTACGTGATTACACTTTGTTTCTCTCAAAAAGCTGGAGTATACATATACATATACATAGTCTCCATGTAATCTTGGTATTTGCAGGATGCTGAGGAAGTCACATGTGAGTTGAAGTGATATCAAATTTCCAAAAAATCAGTAACATCTAAATCCATCTCAGGGCCTTTCCAGTGCATTTGCAGATGCCAAATACCATAAGGCACCAACAGCCCACAAGAAGACAGCTTACCAGAGCAGAGTGAAGATGACTCACAGACCAAACAGAGCAAGAATCACATTAACACACTTGCTGCCCACCTCTCCTGATAACACTGGTTCCTGATGTGCTAGGGGTTGTTAACAGTGATGAGGGAATATTAAACTAGGAACTTAGGAAAGTGGAGGGAGGAAGAGTAGAGAGGGTAATGCACATAAATCCTCTTATTTCTTAGAGCTGCCATTAAACCATTCTGTTCCCAGATCCGGCAGGCTGCGTGAAATCATAGTTTTCAAGTACTCATAGAGCCATATTGTTATCTGTTTTTCTACCCATAACACTATTACAATTCCAGCAACAGGAAAATAGCTGAAAAAAGAATGGCACAGTCATAAAAAATCCCAATGTGAGTCATTCTCTTTGTGTAACTAATTTTTATAGAAGATTTACTTACTGGAAAGAGAGTGACACAGAGTGAAGCAGAAACAGAGACCGAAAAATCTTTCAACTGCTGGCTGAACAGCCACGGCTGGGCCAGGCCAAAGCCTGGAGCCTGGAACCGCATCTAAGTCCTCCGTGCGGGCGGCCCGTGCCCAAGTACCTGGGCCATCTTTAGCAGCCTTCCCAAGCACAGGAGCACCAACCTTGAGCAGAAGCACAGCAGCAGAGCCCGAATCAATAAGGGCTGCTGGTGCCACAAACTGTGGCTTAACTCACTGCACTGCAACCCTGGCTCCTGTTCAACTAATTAATGACATGGATAACCCTGCCTGTCACAGGGAGCAGTATTCTCCCTGTACTACAGGAACAGCCAAAGTACCCTCCTGGAGCAGCACTAAGTCACAGACCTTTCCAACTACACAAATTCACAAAAGCATCTCCACTTTAGAATACTCCATGATAGGTAATCTGCCCAAAAAACTAAAAATATAAAAAGCATTAAGAAAAAAAAGGGGGCAGAGGCTTGAATCATAAACATTTTAGGATCTGGGAAACCATTCAGGCAAATATTTTATTTAGTCTGAATTCTAGTAAGTTTAAAACCCAAAGATCTCCAAGACCTAAGACAAAAATATCTATATCCCTTCGTCTGAAATGGCTCTTTGAATTTATATTTTTAGAAAGGTAAAAGTGGGGCCACCACTGTGACGCATGGGTTAAGCTGCCACTTGCGACACCAACATCCTGTATCCCAGTGCCAGTTGGGGTCCCAGCCATGGCTGCTCCGCTTCCAATTTAGCTCCCTGCCAATGCACCTGGGAAAGCAGTGGAAGATGGCCAAAGTGCTTATGTCACTACCACCATTTGGGAGACCAGGATAGTTTCTGGCTCCTGGCCTGGACCTGCCTGTTTATAGCCATTTGGGGAGTGAGCCAGCAGATGGTTATCTCTCTTCCCCTGGGCCTGTCATGCTGCCCTTCATAAATCAATCAAAAAAAAAAAAAAAAAAAAAAAAAAAAAAAAGAAAAGAAAAGAAAAAAGGAGGGGGTAAATGTGATAATATATACCTAAATTATGTGATTATTTTAAATCTCATCTTTTATATGAAGGCAAAAAACACTGAAGCATATGGGTAGTGCTTTAAAAATTAAGAGAAGTATCCTTGATCCTGCAAGCCTATTTCTGGATTTATAACCAGAAATAGAGAGGAAAGCAGGAACCTGAACAGATGTTTGCAAACCAATGTTCATAGAAGTACTGATCAAAATAGCTAAAAGGTGGAAGCAATTTAATTGTCTATCAACTAACGAATGGATAATAAAACGCTGTAAACATATACAATGGAATAATCATCCTTTAAAAAGAAATGTTTACACGTGCTGGAGTATGAATGAACCTTAAAGAGACTGTGCTAAATGCAGTAAGTCAGACACAAAAGGATAAATATTGCATTATTCCACTTAGATGAGATACTGAGGGTAGTCAAACTCAGAGACAGAAAGTATCTTGGAGACTGCAGGGCTGGGGAGAGGGGAGAGAGACTTCCTATTCAGTGGGTACAAGGTTTCGGTTTGGGAAGCTGAAAGCATTTTGGAAGTAGAGGGTAGTGACTGCAGCATAGAGACCTGAAAGCACTTAAAGCTACCAAATTACATCCTTGAAAGTAGTTAAAATCACAAATTTTATTTCACACATCTTTGACCACATTTTTTAAAAGCATGAAACTGGAATCACAGCTTGGGGAAGTAATGAAGCCTCAGATATTACAGGTGAAACAGAAGTCCACATTTTTCTAAGGAGATATATAGCTTTCCTAGACTTTCAAAATATTCAGTTTCTAAAAATATCCTAAATTACTACTATCCTTTAAACAATGAAATGAGAAAAACAAGTATCAAAAGAATGCTAATAGGATTTTTCATAATGAATCTCCCAGCATGCCCCATCAGTGTAGACAGAACATTCAAACCTTGCACACATTTGATTCTCAAATACACATCTGGTGCTCTGAAATAAGCACTTACAGTTTGGTGACAGCTGTCTAGTATAGGGCTCACAAATCCAATGCAAGACAGTAAGCATGAACCAAAGAATAAGAGAGCAGCTTTTAGGAATCTGTTTGAAACAGAAAATTAAGTGAACTAACAAAAGGGAAGCAGATTATAGTATGTTTTTAACGCAGAGGTAGGGAGACAACACTGCCTAAAACAATGAATGCTCTCAGATTAAATATCAGGGACTCAAATGTCACACTAAACACAGAACTAGCATGTCAGTTTCCAAAACTCCCATTATTTAAAAATAGTAACCCAAACTATCCCTCAGAAATCTTTTAAATCAAAAGACTGAAAGTCTGACACAACAAAAATGTGAAACATCAACACATTAAAATTATCAGGCAAATATATGAGAACATATTTCACACGCCTAACGGTGAGTTCATGTCCCTACACAAATAACTCTTACCAGTCAATAAGGAAAAGACAAAACTACACAATGAACAAAAAGTTTCCCCCTCGAAGGTTCTTCACAGCCTTTTTTCCTGAGCCTTGCTTTACCCATAGAAGTTGCTGGGAAACAGCTCACTCGGAATTAGACACAGCACTCTGTAACTAGGTCTCCAGGGAGAGGCAAAATCAACCTCATGTGATTTAATTTAAAGGCAGTCTAGCTTAATCTAAGACTACCGCAAGTATGGTAGGCGGTTTGCATATAAAGAACTCCAGCAACTCAGTAACAACAAACAAAAAAAGGCAACCTAATTAAAAATGGGCAAAGACTCTGAATACACATTTCTCCGAAGCAGATATAAAAACAGGCAATAAGCAAACAAGATGCTGGCATTAGCTATCAGGATAATGCAGTCAAAACCACAATGACACACTTCAGATCCATTAGGACGGCCAGAATGAGAGACAAGTGTTGGCAAGGTGCAGAGAGAGCAGAACCCCAGTATGCTGCAGGTGGGAAGGTAGAATGCCCCCGCTCTGAAAACACCTGTGTAGCAGTTCCTAAACATTAAACAGGTACCATCTGGCCCCGCAATTCCATGCCCAGATATATTATAACCAAGAGAGCCAAAAACAAGACGTACACGTAAAAACTGCGATAAAAACGTTCACATCATCATTATTCCTAATAACCAAAAGGTGGAAATAGTCTAAATGTCTATCAGCTGACCAACGCATAACTGGGGGTATATCCGACAAAATGAAATATCATCCCACTATAACAAGAAAGAAACACTGATACATGCTACAGCGTGTCTGAACCTTAATGTCAAGTCAAAGACGCGGAAAAAAAATCGTACATTGTGTGATCTCTTTTACATGAATTTTCCACAACACGCACACACACACGTAGACAGCAGTTACTTGGGGTTTGGGGTGGAGAGCACTCCCTCCTACATACACACATGGATACACACACACTGTGCCCTGATAACAGGTCTGCATCCAGCACCTGTTGGAACAGCGTCCGACTCCTCAGGTGTGATAGGGACAAAAGCAGAACACGGTCACTGAACCAGAACTTTCTTTCCGGCGTCGACCTGAGCAGGGTACCCCTCAGGGAGTTAGCTGGGAGCTAGGACCAGCCACAGAAGCGCCCTGCTCCCCATCTCCGGGAGAGGACCCCCGTTTTCACAGTGTGCTGCTGAGGGAGCTACCCAACAACTGCCGGGCAAGACCGCGGTTGGTTTCACTCAGCCTCATCAATTCCGGGAAGGGGGCACCTGTGGCAACCCAAGGCGCAGAGCGGGAGGGAGGGAAGGTGTAGGCACCCCCACCTCCTTGCAGTAGCCCAGACGCCTGCACCGCTGGTCGCGCAGGGAGAGACCGAGGCGCTCGCTGCCAGGGGACCAACCTGTCAGCCGCGAGAAACGTGGCCAAGTCCTTCCGGGTACGGGGCTCCGCGGGCCCCGTGAGAGCAGTCGAGACTTCCGGCGTCGCTGCCAGGTGGGGCTAGAGCGTCGGAACGCGGCGACGTCAGGTCTGCACGCCCGCAGGTGTAGCTGCGTGTAGGGTTGAGAGTCCCTGGACCAGGCGGCTGCGGCTTCTCGAGCGCTGTGCTTGCCTGGGAAAGGGGTTCGCCTCCTTAATCCTCGCTTTTCTTTTCTTTTTTTTTTCAGCGTCAAGCGCTAGCCAAGGGCATTTAAGCCACGGCCTCATAACCATGGCTCCTGGTCAGCATCTGGCACTTCTGGCTTTTGAGACGCGAAACGCTGGAGGTCTAAGCCCCTTGCAAAGACATCCATTCGGCCCGGTTCGATTGAGAAATTTGGCAGCACTAAATTTTGTTTTATTTGCCAGATCTGTTGTCCGCTGTGCACTGGGGGATACGGGAGTGAGCAGACACTGCAATAAGCTGCTCTCATGGCGTGAAGTCATCGCATGGGCTATAATTCAGCAGTCAAATGGGCATTTGTGCTTTGATCCGTTACGAGGATGTGTGTAAAGCACTTAAGATATGGCCGCTTGTAAATTCTTAGTAAATGTTGGCAATTATTTTCATGCTGATCATTCCGTTACCATGGTCATTTATTTTGTCCCACTTTAAGTCCAAGAGGGACATCTAACACGAAGCAGTGAATGCAAGACTAATCAAGTTTAATCTAAGGCAGTCGCCTTCAACTTTAGATCACACATCCCTATGGGGGAGGATGGATGGAAATTACACACATGTATAATTATGGTATAGATATATTAGGCATACAATAAAACTTACACACATAGAACTTTAAAAAGGTAAGGTAAGGGGTGGACCTTGGGCCTAACACATGCCTCCCATGTCAGAGTACCTGGAATGGGAACCCAGCTGTTGCTCCTCACTCCAGCTTTCTACTAAAGCAGTCCTGGGGAGGCAGCTGTGATGGCTCAAGTAATTGGTTCCTGTCACCCATTGGGAAACCTGGATTGAGTTCCTGCCTCCATTTAGGGAGTGCTCTTGCACACATGCTCCCTCTGTTTCACCTTGCTCCATCTCTCTGCCTCTTAAAAAAATTTCTGATTCCTTTTTTTAAAAAAAATTTTTTTATTTATTTGTTTGTTTATTTGAAAGGCAGAGTTAGTTACTTGAGAATAGCCCTCTTGTTAGCTGTGATCTTACCACCTTAAAGTGTAGAGACACCTGGAGTGTCCGGAAAGTAGGAGTGGGAGAGAGTCCAATAAAAGAAATTCCAAAAAGGAGAGAAGGAAATTCTATGTATAAACTCCCCATGTGTCTTGCTGATGCCTTAAATACATTTGTCAAGCAAACTTTTGAGCCATCTAAGACTCGAAAACTGAGGAGAGTAGCAGTGGTTACCACCACAGGGGAAACTGACAGACTGAAATGAGAAGTAAGCAGATTATCTTTATAGTTGGGGCTTACAGCAATAATTTAATAAAGACATTAAAGACCTGAATAGCATCATCAGCCTTTATGACCCAACTGGGATTTGATAGAACCCTTTTTGCACCCAACAACTATAGAATACATATTCCTCTCAAACTTACATGATGTGTTCACCAAGACAGACCATATACTGGGCCAGGAAACAGAGACTGAAAGCATGCATGGTACATTCTCTATCAATAGTATGATTACATTATAAATAAATATCAGAAGAGATCCAGAAAACCCAGAGAGCAATCAGCTTATAGGTTTAAATGCTTGTACTGAAAAGAAGAAAGGTGTGAATCATGATTCAAGTTTCCACTGAAGAAAGTTAACAAAAAATAGAGCACAGTTAACTAAGGAAAGGAGAGGAAGAAAATTTTAAAGATAAAAAACAGAAATCAATGGAGCAGAAAATAAATAATAGAGATTAATTACAAAGCCAAAAATGAGATCTTTGAAACATCAGCAAAATCCATTAACTGATAACTAGACTAATCTAGAGTTAGAGGAAAAACAACTAACAAGATCAGGAATGAAAGAGCAATTACTACAAATCTTACAAACACTAAAAGTTCTGAAGATAGGATGTCCTTTTTAAGATGTCCTGAGATGAGGCAAGAGGCTGGATTTTTATGCCATCACATCAGTGAGTCACTGGATGTTAGCCTCTGGAGGAAGAGGATAAGGCATGGGTTAGACAGCTCTTTTTTTTTTTTTTTTAAAGGTCTTCCTTCCATTGGTTCACCCCCCAGATGGCCACTACGACTGGTGCGCTGCACTGATCTGAAGCCAGGAGCCAGGTACCTCCTCCTGGTCTCCCATGTGGGTGCAGGGCCCAAGCACTTGGGCCATCCTCCACTGCCTTCCCGGGCCACAGCAGAGAGCTGGATTGGAAGAGGAACAGCCAGGACAGAATCCAGTGCCCCAACCGGGACTAGAACCCGGGGTGCCTGTGCCGCAGGCGGAGGATTAGCCAAGTGAGCTGCAGCACTGGCCAAGACAGCTCTTTTTGATTGACATGATTTCTGATGGAAGATCCTCAGCAAGTACGATAACGAGCTGTTCATCCCAGGTTTTGTGTCACAGCAAACAGCATCCACTCATGAGAGGAAATAAAAGTTTTTGGATGGCCGGCACCGCGGCTCAATAGGCTAATCCTCCACTTAGCGGCGCCAGCACACCGGGTTCTAGTCCCGGTCGGGGCGCCAGATTCTGTCCCGGTTGCCCCTCTTCCAGGCCAGCTCTCTGCTGTGGCCAGGGAGTGCAGTGGAGGATGGCCCAAGTGCTTGGGCCCTGCACCCCATGGGAGACCAGGAGAAGCACCTGGCTCCTGCCATTGGATCAGCGCGGTGTGCCGGCCGCAGCACTCCAGCCGTGGTGGCCATTGGAGGGTGAACCAACGTCAAAAGGAAGACCTTTCTCTCTGTCTCTCTCTCACTATCCACTCTGCCTGTCAAATAAATAAATAAATAAATAAATAAAAGTTTTTGGATAATCCCATTAGATTTTAAATATACTCAGTTGCTTCATGAAAGAAAGAACAAAAAAATTAAGTAAAAATGCCTGGAATATGTCTAAAAGTATAGGTAGGATTTAGGCACGGAAAAAGAAGAGTATTTTCAGGCGAGGAAATACACAAAACACCAAAGTAGCCCCAAGTTTCTAAAATTATTTACACCTAATGTGGATTTGCAAATATGCCATATTTTTGAAAGCATTTTTCTTCTGAAATAATTAAAGATTAAAAGAATGCTTGAGGCCGGCGCTGCGGCTCAATAGGCTAATCCTCCGCCTGCAGCGCCAGCACACCAGGTTCTAGTCCCAGTTGGGGTGCCGGATTCTGTCCCGGTTGCCCCTCTTCCAGGCCAGCTCTCTGCTGTGGCCAGGGAGTGCAGTGGAGGATGGCCCAAGTGCTTGGCCCTGCACCCCATGGGAGACCAGGAGAAGCACCTGGCTCCTGCCATCGGATCAGTGTGGTACGCCGGCCGCATCATGCAGGCCGCAGCGGCCATTGGAGGGTGAACGGAAAAGGAAGGAAGACCTTTCTCTCTCTGTCTCTCTCTCTCTCACTGTCCACTCTGCCTGTAAAAAAAAAAAAATGCTTGAAAAAATATACGAAGAACATTCCTGTGTTTCCTTCACCAACTATTCTCCATGGATAGCATCTTGCATAACTGCACTAATATATCAAAGTCAGGAAATTGGCATTGCACCATCCACAGAATTTATTCAGATTTCACCAGTTTTTGCGTGTGTGTGTGTGTAGTCCTATGTAATTTTATCACTTGTGTAGACTCATGTACCCACCACCCCAGTCAAAATATAGACTGGTTTCTGTCCAGTGATCTCTGGTACTATGCTTTCATAGCCACTGTGCATACCCAGCTTTCCTTTCTCCAGCCTACTCTAACACTAACAACTTCTAATCTGTCCTCCATCTCTATAATTTTGTGGCAAGTAAGCTGTCTTTTTCAGTTACAAGATAGCTTTCCTCACAGCCAGTGTTACAAGAAAGCTAGTGGCATCTTTAGACTATGGCAGCTTCTCATGAGTCCTTTCACTTAGCAGCTAGATTCTCCAAGACACTTATGGTTCCTGTACATCTGCTGCTTTTAGATCACCATGATCCAGTCCTTCGTCCCTCTTACTCTGGGAGATGACTTTTGTCAAACACTGGATAAACCAAGTGGATCATCAGGTGAGTGGCTGCATCTACTTTGTAACTTTTTGCTTTAAAAACCAATGGCATATCTTCATTGGTCCTTGCCCATACTCCTAAACCACAGGTATTGTTACTTTGTTACCTTTTGTGGAAACTTCCTCTACAACCATGCCCTCCTTCCTAAGGTCATTCACCCCTCCCTCCTTTAACTACTTTTATGAATGCACATATATTCAACCCTTTGATGGACAACACAGATTGAGTAGCCATGTCAGACTAAGTTCCCAGCCACAAATAAGTATTAGCTTAGTGTGGAAAACACAACTTATACCAAAAGTGTCGCTTGCTCCGCAGGCTCGCAGAGGAGCGGCAACGGATTTGCTGTTCTTTCTTTCCCCGGTCCTCCCCGGATTAGCTGCCCCCCCCCCCGCCTCCGCGGAGGGGCAGCACCCCCGCCGCTTTCCCCGCCTCCACGGAGGGGCGGCACCCCGCCGGCCGGCTCTCTCAGGGGTTGCTCAGATGCTCCTCCTGCATGTTGTCTCTCTCCTCCTTTATAGTCCTCTTCCACCAATCCCAACTCTGCTGGCATTCTCTCCCCACACACTGAGCATGCTGCTCTCCTCCAATCAGGGGCAGGATCAGCTCCTGCAGCTTGTTAGTTGAATTGGTGAGGCAGCTGTGTGGAAGTTGTTTACTCCCTCTCAGCGCCATATGGTGGGAGATCAGATGCATAGAGATAGTCTTAGCAGTTCCAGTAATTTAGTCTAGTCTCGGTAATCTCCGTATTTGTCCTCAGTATTTATTTGTCCACAGTC